AAACTAGGTCGGTGAAATTCCTTACGTTGGTCCTTATCGATACCTCTTTTTATCTTTTGCGGCCCATCCATTCATAGGGATGGGGTCGCATCGTTACTTGCCAGGTCAGGTCAATGGTCTTTTTTTTTTTTTTTGAACATATTTTGTAAAAGGCGGATTTCGAGTCCTGGTGAAGAGAAATACATCGGTGATTAATGTCATTAGACCTCAAGAGTAAGACGTAATAGTTTATTATTATCACTTAATCAAGCACAAAAGGTATATAATTGATAAATAAGTGTAATTTGTTAAGTTAAATTTACCGTACGTTTATGTTGATAGGAATAGGGAAAAAAAAGAAAATTTTTTAATTAATTAAATTACGATTATTTAATATTTTAAATTTATATTTAAAAATAATTTATTTTAAATATATTATATTAATGTCAAAGGTTTACTTTTAGAGTTATTTTTAAAAAATATTTAAATTATGTAAAAACTTACATAAAAACACTATAATTACAAATACCAAACAACATATATAATTATCACTTGACGTGGGGGCACGGCACAATTGATCCATTCATGCCATCATAAATTCGTAGTGGGGTTGTTTTTTATTATTATTATTATTATTAAACAAAATAGCAGTACATCATTTAGTCCTGAGAACTTCAAACCCATAATGTCTATACACACAAAGGTTGACATTGAAAAAGAATAACAAAATTCTGGTGAAGATTGTGTTCCATTCTCACCAGTTGGTCAGCAACCATATTGGCTTGTGGCTTGTGGACGACCATTGCATTGGGAACGAGCTGTAGGAAGTCTTCCAATCCAAAAGCAACGACACTAAGAGGGTAAGTAGCAATAGGAGACTTGGTTGACAATTGAGAAACAATATAAGAATCAGTCTCAACAATAATATTAGTGACAATGGAAATCGACTGCAAGCTTAAGGTCATCTCTTAAAGCCCACATTTCGGTAGATAGACTGTTCGTAGTTTCAATTCTTCTAACAAACTCAAGTATCCAATTACCATTATTATCCCTAAACACTCCCCCACTTGCAACTTTACGATACCAATAATAGAGCCGTATGTAGTTTGATAAATGGGTGGGGAGAATGCTTAGGATGGGAAGTCCAAAATTCTACAGCTTTCTCAATTAAAGGTTTTTAGACGTAGTAACAAAATGAGGGTGAGGCTTGTGGAGGGTCATGTAACCAAATACCCTATAGTGCAAAGCAAAAAATTCACTCCCCATGGGATATTAAGAACCCCCATAGATTCATAGTTGCAGAAATCAAACTTATGAATTAAACACACCTGCAGTACCAACCGTGTTAGATAAATTGCAGGTTTATCAAGACTAAGACCCAGCTTCTAGTTTTTGTAAAGACCAAATCCCCTTCTCCCAAATTCTTCCATGTTTAAAAAAAAAAAAAAAGCACTTATGAACTAAACAATAACAATCAACGTTGCTGGAAAATTTTAACTTTTTATTTATCAAATTAATTAATGACATGTAAACGAATAATAGATCCATATATTAGGAGCTAAATCCACCCAATAACAATGTTGTAAATAACATCCAGCATGTCTAGTGCATTTCCAGACAGTTGATCTACTCATTGCATCAAAAATATTGATTGCCTCTTCTGACAGAGTCTATGGGCAAAGAACCACCATTTTGCTCCATTCCATTGCCTGTCATCTTAACCATAACGTTTCTTGAACAAATGATGCCGTTTGGATGGATCTTTGGGCTTACTTTTAGCCTGGCCCTGTCCAGCGAGTTTGCCCTTTCCAGTGCTGCATTTGGTAGGAGAATGTTATGAGGACCGGAATAATCAAAGTTTGTTGGGTTAATGCATAAAATTCGTTCCTCTTGCCCTTGTTATGGTTTCTAATTCTATATATGTGCACACACAAAACAACTAAAGCATAAGGTGGAATACAACAATACCTGTATTCCATGTAAACCATCCCTTTTGCTCCTGACATTGTACTCATTGATCCCATGGAGCGACGGGCTTTATGAAGGGCTATATCGTCAGCATCTTCGTCTAATTGTTCCAAGCCAACCATATCATCACCAGCACTTAAAACCTGGTGTGTAAAACATTTGAGTAACGTGTAACTTGACATAATCACAGTAAAGCTCAAAATCAAAGGAAGATAAACACCTTGCCAAGAAGGGCCATTTGCTCCTCATGATGACAGTAGCTCAATTCATCACCGGCATCAGGTGGAGGCAGGCTTGTTATAACCTGTCAGCACATCAAAAGCGGTTATGGAGAGGTCCTTCCACAAATGCCATGGTCCATTCATCATAGCTTTACATGATGGGACATGTATAGTTCTGCCTCATACTAAAGGGAAAAAAAGAAAAGACTAACTGCTATACACAAGCAAACTTGAGGCTACAAATAAGACAAAATACCTTAAAACTATAGCCTTGATCAATCAGAAACTGCTGCCTTTTAGTTGAGTAGTACATCTCCTGCATCCAATAAAAGAACCAGTTAAATGTGAATTTAGTCAAAATAACTGTTATTTCTTTTTGTAAGAAGTAATAGATGCTACCTGAGTATCTGTAGAAACAAGGGAGTAGAAAAATGCATTGTACTCCTCTTTACCACCTGCCATCCTGTCTTCAAGTTTACCCTGTTATCCAAATAAACATACACATTAAACTAATGCAATATTACACTTATAAACAGAACAGAGGAGTGACATCACATCAGAAGGCATGATGATAGCAAAACATAAAACACATGAAAATATCTTATTTTTTAATTTCTTCTTAAAGAAAACTCTATTTTCATCACCAAAAAAAGAGAGAGAAAACTCTGTCATATCGGCAAACATATATATACGCTATTTCTGCTCCATTTGAAGCAAATAATAATAATAATAATAATTAAAAAAATAGTTTTTATGCTAAAATATGAACTCTGCATGCTACTGTGTGTTTGTGTGAACCATAAAAAACAAATCAACATAAACAGCTGAACATCCCAACTGCTGTAAAAGAAAGCTCTAATCTAAACATATACAGGGTGAGACAGAACCTTAGCCCTAAGAATACGGCCCAAACGTTGGGCTTCTTGACGTCTTGAACCAGCGTGTGATGAAATCTGAATGATCACATTCGCCTCAGGAATATCAATTGAGTTATCACCCACCTGGAAAGAATAGAACCAACCAACATTATATCATCCACCAGACAAAATGGACTTTTATGGTACAACATATGATGGATTGGATGAACTGGGAATAAATCACATCATTCATTAATGTCAAACTATATTACGAAAAGTATGTTCCCAACTAAGAGGGCTGTGAGAGGGACTAAAACAGCAGAATGATGTATCATCCTATTTGAAATTCCCGAAAGTAGAATAGTACAGATTGAATACCTTCGATAGGAAAACAGTGTTTACATCACGACTAGTTTTGAATGCTTGGAGAATTTTTGTCCTCTCAACATGGCTGCATATTGTTGGAAGGAGAGGTTGCCAATCATTAAATGGAACACTAAAGGTAAACACAAACTACTAACAGCAGCTGGTATTAATGAACAACCTGGTAGCACCATAGATCATAGGTTTGCGGAGCTTCATTGCATACTCTGTAAGTGCAAAAAGATTGTCAGCAAACACAATTATCTTATCACCACGCTGCTGTTCGTGAAACCGTATGAGAAATTCACAAGCCCTGAACTTATTAGGATTCATCACATAAAGTGCCTGAAACACAAAGGAGAACCAGTTAATGTAGGAGGAAGAAAGTAGCTAACACTCAAAAGAATGTAGTGATTATTGATTGTGATGATGGAGACAACTAAACCATGTTATTAGAGTAAAGAATTCACTTCAGTAAACCTGCTTTTTCTTTGAATTTTCCTTCTTAAGATATTCAGCAAAAAACTCCTTTGTCATTGGGCACCATACTTCAGCACACTGTACATTTGCAATAAATCCTCCTTTAACCAGATCCAACCAGTTTGCTTCATACAATTTTGGACCAATGAGGAAGTTCAAATCTGTAATTCTTTCATCCTCTCTCACAAGTGTTGCTACAAAATAAGATTTGCCTCTCAGAAAAAAATAAGAAGGCTGAGTGTTAGACAAGCATCCCAACAAAAATATCAGATGCATACCAGTAAGCCCAAGTTTGCAGTGAGATTTAGTTAGACTGATAACCTTTCGAAACATGTGAGCCGGAACGACATGCACCTGAATAGGATATATGACAATGCCTGTAGTGTTAAAATTTCCTGGTTGCTCTACAGAAAGGCTTTGAATCATGCAGAAACAACTTAATTACCTCATCCATAAGAAGCAGACCCCATTCTCTGTTTCTTATTTCTTCAATAATCTTCTCAGATTCTTCAGACCGTTTACCACCAAAAGCAACCATATTATATGTTGTCACAACCACCCCAGCATTACCACGGAATCTTTCTTTGCTGTCAGATGTAAACCGGCAAATTTGCTCATCTCGTATGGTTGACCAGAGCTTAAACTGAAAGGCCCACTGATCAACTGAAACAGCATTTGTTGCCAAACAAAGGCAACTCTTCTTTATCCGGCATGCTGCAGATACCCCAACAAGTGATTTTCCAGCACCACAAGGTAGCACAATAATGCCTGATCTTGCTCTACCTGCAAAATAAAAGAATTATATTGAAATTTGCATTTGCTAATTAATGATACGAGGGCTGTTTTAGTTCCATCTTTCCCTTAATTCTTTTTTTTTTTTTTTAATTTTTTTTATTGAGGGAATGGTGTCAATGGGATACTCTTAACAACAAAATACCATAAAAACAAGTTGCAGAAAGTTGCATAAAATTTTCATAATTTTGTTTTTCCTTTTGAAAGGGCAAGAAGTCTAAAGGCCATACTCATAAGAAAACTGATTCCACCATTGATGATATTTGTCATAGAATCATATGAATTAAAAAACACAACATGAGGATAGTTTGGAACCAAAATGAATTATTTGAACAAACTTTAACATATATGCTTCCAATCTTCAGATTCATCTTACCATTTCCAAACATCTTGCTAAGGCTCTTCTCCTGATATGGACGTGGTTGTGCATGAGGCTTCAATTCCATGTCAAGATCAGGGTTGACCTGCAAAGCCAAGGGAGCAAAAAGGAACATGAATCTAAAAATCCCCAAACTTGCTGGACATTATACTTTGAGAAATCCCTTCTACTGCAAAGGCAACAAATGTGAAACATTACTCACAGTATCATTCCTGAAATCATACTCTTCCAACATTGGATAATTTAAAGCATTTGGTAAGCAACGCTGCTTTACATTTTCAACCTGTCAAAGAACAAAGGACTCTTATAATGCTCACAAAAAAACCATAAGACAGTCAAATAAGATGAAGCAAAATAAAATTTTACATCTTGATATGCCATTTACATTACCTGAGAAGGATTAATTTCAAAGGAGTGAGTTTCCTTTTCTTCAGCTGCAGCTGCCAATTCTGCTTCATTTAGCAATCCATCATGACTAGCTCCAATTTCACCCATGGTTTTGCTGACAGTAAATCCATCATTTCCATTGGCACCCTACATTGGCACCCACATATAGACCAATTAACATATTAGGATAAAGGGGACGAGATAAGAAAGTAGGGAGAAGGTGACATCATATTAGAACAAGAAATTGCAGTTTGAAGCTAAGCTTATTAAGACAAAAGGGAATTGCACCGGAAAGAGTATGAATCAATCTAGTATGTATCTATAAAACATGAACTTTGTTGTGAAGAAAATTATGTACACACCTAATCAAAAACAGACTCAATCACATTAAGGGACAAACCTCAGGAGTGATCCTTGCTTGAGATATAACTTCATCTCGGAGCAGTTTCTTCAATACCTGCAAAGAACCACAAACAATTAATATCAACAGAACCCAATTAATAATTAATAAGAAACCAAAAGCACAACCAACTTACATCAGGAAATGGAGACTCAATAAAGTACCGATTCTTCTTAAGCACAAGTTTCACTTTGCCATAATTGGCAGTAGAAGCATGAATGAAATCAATCATCTCTTTAGGAAGCTTAGTCTTCGACAACTTATTCAATACAGATATAATAGTCTCCGTTTCCAGTCCCACAGACACAGCAGCATACAATGAGTGCGGTGTAAGGTTATACTCGTGCATCGACTCTGGCCTATACAAATCAGATTTAACATCCAACAACACAAAGTAATAAACTTTCTGAGTTCCATAAGAAATTAGATTATGGGTTTTGTCTATTGAATTGATACCTGCAAACGGGCTCGGCTATGGCAATGAGAAAATCATATGCCTGTTTGTACAGCGGAGAGAATGTCTCCAGGAATATGCGCCCATCAGCACAAGCCCAAAGGGGGCGATTTGCGTGATCGGGCTTCAACTCTAATTTACTAAAATCCGTCTTTTTTCCTTCGTTTTCACCTTCAATCATCAACATCATGATCCAATTTTAAAAATCGTACATCCATGGAAACAAACATCACAGAAAAACAAATAGTCAGAGCCGAAGAGAATGAGAGTACCATCACGATAATCATCCTCGATTTCGTCAGGATAAAAGGCATCTTCGGCGCCTGAGCTCCGACGATCATCCTGCATAACAAGCTCAATTTGTAGAAGTACATATACATGAAAGAATCCATAAAAGCCTCAAAAAAACAATGAGCTTGAATGACCTTGCTAGAAAATTTAATCTTTTTGTTGGGTCGACCTTTTTCGCCTGAAATCACAGACGGAAAACCGATTTAGATCAATCTTGGCACTATTGTAGAGGAAAAAGAAAAAAGACAGGAAAGATGAGGAAAAATCAGCTAAAAAGAAGATGAAGAACATGATGATGTTATGAGTTGAAGATTTCTAGTACATAAGTACCATGACCCATGTTACAAGTTTCAGTCTTTTTGTGTTCGTGTAATTAAGGTGTGATGGAAAATTCTGATATCTGACGATGAAGAAAGAATAGCTTGAATTTTAGTCTCTCTGCTACAGAAATATACAGAAGAGAATGGAACCGCCTCTGATGATGGAAGACGATTCGCTTGAAACGCTGCGTTTTAGGCTGGTCGTTTGAGATTATAGACCGAACTTGTTGGGCTAGTGGGCCCAATATATCAAGCTTCTATGTAAGGCGAAACGTCATGTTAAACTCTGAATTGACTTGATATTCTTAATTGAGCTCCTAAATTTTTTTTCAAGGCAGAAAAGCCCCTAAACCCCACAATCTATGCAATTTTTTCCTCTTCTTAGTGATAGATTGTAAAGTTGCTAACAAAGGAAGACATGAAATAGGGCAAAAATGCACAAATCATGGAGTTTTAGGGCTTATCTGCTTTAAAAAGTCTAGGGGCTCATGTTGAGGAGATAAATAGCTTAACATAGAGACATTGAGTGACCCATCATATGTTTTGCCATCATATTGTAACCAAAAAACTAGTCCAATAATTACATGGGTCTTAACATATTTTAAGCTACTCTTTCCTTTTACATTTCTTCAATGTGGGACTCTAATTATTCACACTCACAAGGAAACAACATACTTCAACACTCCTCCTTTCACTTGTAAGTTGTGAAAACACACATGAGAGTTCATTTTTCTTTTCCTTTTTTTATGTGAGACTCTAATTCTTCACATTCACAAAGAAACAACATACTTCAATAGCTCAATTAAAAATATAAGGTCAATTAAGGGTCTTAATGTGGGGTTTTACCTATTCCTAATGAAAGTTGAAACGTTGCGTTTCAAGTGATTCTACATTTAGTCCCCGTTTTGTGTGGTTGAAGCTTTTAATAGAAATTTTGTTGAAAAGAAACTGTTGTAAAAGTGTTGTTTTTGCAAATAGAAAAAAAAATAATGATAAAATAGAAATAATGTGTTAATTTCATTAAAACCCAAATGAGAAAGTCTTACAAAAGTATCAATTCAGTACTTCTGAGATTTGTAATGAAATTAACAAAATACTAACTTATGAGAAATTATAATATTTTTCACAAATTTTAATGTTTGATGCAATTAAAACTTTTAAAATTTTAAAAAAACTTCCCACAAGTTGTACCAAACATAACCTTAATGAGCCCAGATGAGTTGGACTGAAAAGGGATTTCTCTATAAATTCTCCCTTTTTTCAATCTTCCGTCCTTGAAAGTTGAAACACTGCGTTTGGATAAGCCCAACTGAATTGGGCTGAAATTTCAGCCCAATAACCAGCTCCGTTACGCGAAGCATAGTGAATTCAGCATTAGCATTTTCCCCCTGAAAACTGCTCGATCTAGTCTTTTCCTCTCTAGTTCTGTTTCGCTATTTTTTTCATTTTTACTTTTCTTCTTCCCGAACGAGAGGAGGAGGAGAAGAAGAACTAGGAAGAGGAAAGAGATCTGGCTTGGAAATGAGCGGACACGATTCGAAGTACTTCTCCACCACGAAGAAGGGAGAAATCCCTGAACTCAAAGAGGAGCTCAATTCTCAGTACAAGGTATTTTTGTGCCTAAATATACGAATCTATCTATTTTGATCTATGATCTGGATTTGTCAGAACTATGAATTTGCAGCATCTTTCTGTTTTTTTGCAGCTGATAGTAGGCCAGTTCTTGTTAGATCTGTCGGTTTTTTACTTTCAATTGTGCTCCGAATCCATTGATTTGATTCATTTGAATTGTGTTCTTGTTAGTAACGATTAGGAATTTGTGCGGATCATTCCCTGGATTTACAGTGAGTGATGTTTGCTGACTGCAAAATTGCTGGAATTGGAAACTTCATTTTTTTTTCTTTGTTTTTGCTTAGGATCAATGTTACTTGAGTGAGCATTTGATACGAATAAGTTTTTGAATCTGTTTTCGAATTAGATTTCAATGCGTTAAAACTTGGAAGTGAATTATCACTACATGGATATGTGGTTCCATAATGATAAGTAGTTTTTATTCTTTTTTTTTTTTAAGATGGAAATGTAAGTCTGGTGGTAGCCATCGTCGTTTTTCGAATCATTAATCTCATTTTAATTTGATGTGTTATTATTATTATTATCTCTACTTTGATGTTTTGTCAGATTGTTATTGTGCTTTTTTTATCTATATTTTACAGGATAAGAGAAAAGATGCTGTGAAGAAGGTTATTGCTGCAATGACTGTTGGGAAGGATGTTTCGTCTCTTTTCACGGATGTAGTGAATTGCATGCAAACAGAAAATTTGGAGCTGAAAAAGCTTGTTTATTTATATCTTATAAATTATGCTAAAAGCCAGCCAGACCTTGCAATTCTTGCAGTCAATACATTTGTGAAGGTAAGAACTTAGTTAAACCTTTTATCATTACAGTTCAATATTGCCTTTGGTTTTTCTATTGAAGCATGGATTTTGATATCGTTGTGTACCCAACATATAAAATCTGAAATTTAAAGGCACACCTGTTGACTGAGATACTGGCCTGTGAATGTGTATAAGAATATACTGTTGCTTCACTGTCAACACAACAACCTTTTCCTTTCTGGTTAGTGGTTTCAACTACTAATTATAAGAAATCCTAGAATTCTTATAATTCTTTGATTGCATTTATTGGTGGTTAACTGTGTCCTTATTACGGGAAAAGAATAGTTTCCTATTTTTGGATAAAAAATTTTCTACCATCTGAGCCTGCTCAAAGGTGGAACATAAGAGGCATAATGTCCTTTGTTTTGTATGGAACTGTTTCTCTGTTTAAAGTAGTGCTTTATGGATCTCAATTAATTTTATTATATGAGCATTTGTGCAGGATTCTCAGGACCCAAATCCACTGATTCGTGCTTTAGCTGTTCGGACAATGGGGTGCATTCGTGTTGATAAGATAACAGAATACCTATGTGATCCCCTTCAGAGGTGTCTTAAGGTTGGTCTATGTTTGATGTTGGTGCCAGGTTTTAATTGGTTTTCTGGATCCCCTTATATCTAACAACATTGTGAGCTGCTATTTATTTTTGTTTTAGCTTCTCCAGTTGCTTGTATTCTTGGTTAACTGTGGTGTATAACACTGTAACAGGATGATGATCCATATGTTAGAAAGACAGCTGCCATATGTGTTGCCAAACTTTATGACATAAATGCTGAGTTAGTCGAGGATAGGGGCTTTTTGGAATCTCTCAAGGATTTGATTTCTGATAACAATCCCATGGTTGTAGCGAATGCTGTGGCAGCTCTTGCAGAGATTCAAGAGAATAGCAGCAGACCGATATTTGAGATCACTAGTCACACACTTTCAAAGCTGCTTACTGCCCTCAATGAATGTACAGAGTAAGTTTTCTATTTTTGTAAACAATGCCCTCACCTGTCACCTTCACCTTCTTTAAATTCGGTATTTTGAAATGCTAGCATGCATCCGTCTTATGTTTTGAGGGTTGATATTAACTTATATATAACAAGGAAAACTTGAATTTTTCCCAAATAAGTAGATATTGCCACCACTAACAATGTATTAATCATTTGTTCAGTGGCTGGGAAGCCTTTTGCTCTACTGGTCTAATCCTGATATTGATGCACTTTTCAGGTGGGGTCAAGTTTTTATACTTGATGCACTTTCCAGATATAAGGCTGCTGATGCTCGCGAAGCTGAAAATATAGTAGAGAGAGTTACACCACGGCTGCAACATGCTAATTGTGCTGTTGTACTATCAGCTGTCAAGGTGGAATCCAAAGATTGATTTCTTTTAGGATCTCTATTGTCTTGTTAATGTATTATCAATCAAATAATTTATTCTTTCTCTTATTGCCTTCCAGATGATTCTTCAACAAATGGAACTTATCACTAGTACTGATGTAGTGCGAAATCTTTGCAAGAAGATGGCTCCCCCTCTGGTCACACTACTTTCTGCAGAACCTGAGATACAATATGTCGCATTACGTAATATCAACCTAATAGTACAAAGACGGCCTACGATCCTAGCCCATGAAATAAAGGTGGATTCATATAGAATCACACTTGTCCAAGCACTCATTTACATTTCCCTTGATACTATGGCACAGCAGATAGCTACAACCTGCATCTAGTGATGTTGTAAATAATGAAAATATGCTTATCCAAAACCCAAATTATTTTGCTAGGTGTTTTTCTGCAAGTACAATGACCCAATTTATGTGAAGATGGAAAAGTTGGAAATAATGATAAAGCTTGCTTCTGACCGAAACATAGATCAGGTAGGTAAAGTTTGGTGCAACATACTAATACTGGTGTTATTTCTCCTGTGTTATTTCTCCTTTGTATTTTTCTTTGGTCTTCTCCATTCTAAGTGTTGATTGATTAAAAAAAAAAAGAAAGTAAAATTATGTTGAATTGCCGATTTATTCATCCACAGGTTCTATTGGAGTTCAAGGAGTATGCTACAGAAGTAGATGTGGATTTTGTCAGAAAGGCTGTCCGTGCCATAGGCCGTTGTGCTATTAAGTTAGAGAGAGCAGCTGAACGGTGTATCAGTGTTCTGCTTGAGTTGATCAAGATCAAAGTCAACTATGTTGTCCAAGAGGCTATTATAGTTATCAAGGATATCTTCAGAAGATATCCTAACAC